CGCCGGTGCCCCTTGTCGGCCGGAGGGGCTCGGCGGACCGGGCCGGGCCGCGGGCAGGCCGGAGCAGCCGGGCCCGGGAGCGGAAGCGGAAACGGCGGAGCCGGGGGCGATGGCGCCGCGGCTGCAGCTGGAGAAGGCGGCGTGGCGCTGGACCGAGACGGTGCCGCCCGAGGCGGTGGCGCAGGAGCACATCGAGGCGGCCTACCGCGTCCGCCTGGAGCCCTGCCAGCGCGGCGCGTGCCGGTACCGCCGCGGGAGCGCCCCCGCCCGCCCCCCGGCCCCCGTGTCCCTCCCAGCTCCGTATCCCCCCCAGGACTCCCGTGCTTGCCGCCCCCGGGGTCCCCTATCCTCCCACGGGCCCCATATTGTCCCGCACGCCCCCGGGCCATGTTCTGCCCCCCAGCCCCGCTCCCCACCCTATAGAGCACCCGAGATCGCGTGTTCCTCCCCTCGGCTGCGGGCTGCCCTCTTGGGGCCCCGCAGGGTGTTGGGCACCCCCCGGGCCCCCGTTTGGGGTCTGGGAGAGACCTCCCCCAACGCTCTAACTCCCCAGGTCCCGGCTGTTGGGGGAGGGCGACTTAGGGGGTGCTCCGGGTGCCCCACTGTTTTGGGACCCCCTTTATGCTACCCCCCTATGGGGTGTGTGTGAGCCCCTGTCCCCCAGGGTTGGCGGGACCCCACATCCCCCTCCCTGGCAGGGTCCATCAAGAGGCAGCAGTATCCCCTAATCCCTCCATTTTTTCCACTATAACTCCCTTATCCTCAGCCTCTCCCTGTCCTTTGGGCTCGTGGTGACCCCCTCATCTCCTACTACCCTCCTTGGTGCTTWTGGGCTTGTGGGGACCCCCCCTCTTGCACTTAGGGCCCCTTTTTTTCACACTTCCCACCCTGCTTCCCRCAAGGGACGTTGCTCCCTGCGTGGGTGACAGTTGGGCCGGTTCCGCAGGAGGAACTGCCGGGGGAACCCCAACTGCCTGGTGGGCATCGGGGAGCACGCGTGGCTGGGCGAGATCGACGAGAACACCTTCCACAACATCGACGACCCCAACTGCGAGCGCCGCAAGAAGGTAGCGCCCGGCCCCTCTATCCTGCCTCCCACCCCTAGCCCGCTGCTTCCGGAGCTTCCCGTAGAAAACCCAACCGGAGTCCAAATCTGCTCGCTTCCACCCCACGGGTCGGGAGCTGCGGCTTTGGGCGCGGTCCCGGTGGCGTCTGAGCCTTTCCCTTGCAAGTGGCCTGGGAGAAAACTTCCAGCTTCCAGTTGGCACCCTGTCCCTTCAGCAGGGAAGCGGGAGGTTTGGGTTTTTTTCCAGAAAAGGCACTCGGGTGCCTGGTGTTGTGAGGGTGCCATGGTCACTGCCCGTGTCCAGAGAGCCCAACCAGGGKAGAATCCCTCTAAACGGACCCCCCCTCAACATTAACACCCAGCGGCAGCTCAGGGAGAGGTAACAGAGCGGAAAGGTGACCTGACTGTTGGGTTTCTCTACTTGTTGCTCCGGAGTTGCGAGTTACGTGTGTTGCTCTCTCTCTTTCTTTATGCTAGAACGCGTTCGTGGGCCTGACGAACCTCGGAGCCACGTGCTACGTGAACACCTTCTTGCAGATGTGGTTTCTCAACCTGGAGCTCCGGCAAGCTCTCTACTTGTGCCCCAGCAGCGAGGACGCGGCCGGCGGGGGCATCCCCAAAGACAGAGGTCAGCGAAGGTCACAGCAGCTGCCCATGGCTTTCCCATMTGGAAACATGGGAGCCCTTTGGCTCATTGGGACACCCACGTGGCGGGATAGTGCCCAGCTGCCCCATCTGCGGAGCGCGCTGCTCCCTTTAAGTGCTTGACCTAGCTTTTTTAGGAGCAAGCCACCTAAACTGCTCTTTACGAGAGTTATTTTTAAATCGCCGTGAGTTGATCTGATTGGAAACTTGGTTTAGGGCTTCCTTTCTTTGCCAAGATGTTTAATGATAATAGTGGGACAAGGAAAGCGTGGCTTTTGTCACTATGGAGCTGCAGTTTGTCCCATGGGAGGACAAGTATTTAGGTACTCAGTGGGCAGGAGACTCTAGGTGCCAGCRCAGCAGACCTGCTGGGCTTGGTGAGATATTTTCTTTTTCACTGTATACTGTGTTAATCTTGAGTTAGTGCAGCTGCCTGTTTTCTTCSTAATCCTATTTTTGCTGTATTTTGTGAACGTTGTGCAGCTGTTTGGTTTAAACGTGAAGCTGTTGTCGCGTGCTAGTCAGCGCTTAAACTGTTCTGTAGCAGCTCACACCAGACCGTGTGGGGTGTTTGGCCTGAGCCGTGATCTAGCTGGCACAACCGGAACTGTTTCAGGTGTCGTGGTAGTTAAAAATACCTATTTAAAAAAAAAAATGTTTCTAGTCATTAAGCTTACACGTATAAACAACAAAAAGTGAATTACGTGAATGGTTCTACCTTGAAAGGAGACAACAAAGCTCACTACTAACTTGTGCAAAACTCATTTTGTGCTAGACTACGAGCCTCAGAGCATCTGTGAGCACCTGCAGT